AAAATCTAATGCAATATAGACTTCCCATATAAGTCTGTGTCACATTAAATGATATTACCACTCTGAAAGCAGTTATGTTAAATCATATCTCCTTATATTTGATTATGTATGAGATCATGACAGTAAGAACTGAAAAGTCAGCCATGTTTATATGACAGATGTTTCTGGGACATAAGAAAGCTGGAAATTACTCAGTGGTGAATGGAATAAGAACTCCTCACTCCGTACTGCACTGGAAAGAAGCAAGTTTATCTTTGGATGCCTAAACACAAACAGTAGAGTAACCACAGTAAGTATTTAGCCCTTGAACATATACTGCTAGAACACAACACTCGGTTCTGGTGACCCAGAATTCCTGACAGATGCTGAAAGAACAGGAAAGACCGGGAAAGGAGACACAGAAAGACTGAAGGACTGGAAACATACTTTAGCATGCAAGACTCAAGATGGTCAAACGAGTCAAACCCATCTCAAAACATTCTAAGTAACAACTTATAAAATAAACACAGTTAATCAAGAGTCTTTAATTTAGCCAACAGTGTAAAAGAAACCAGAGGCCAAAGCTAAGCATATGAAGATGAAAACTATAAATGGAAATATTATTTTATTCTAAAAGTTAAGAAAAATACCATTGGACCAAGGAAGAAACAACTGTGGTATATTCAGTCACTTCAGCAAATTTTATTTATTGAGATTCCTGCTTAAAGAGTATCTGATTATTTCAGATAAGCCTTAAGACTATTTTACATAGCAGGTAAGATTACACTGCCACTACGAATTCTTCTCCCCTTAGCCCTCAGCTATCTGCATTTGTGTTTTGGGTTTGGGTTTTTTTTGTCATTCCATTCTACCAGACGAAACTCCACAGGATGGTATTCAGCTCACTACAACCTAACGCACACGTGTTTTCCCAACCTATACGTATGTTTGAGCACACAGCTGTTTCACACATATTATTTAGGCAATATTCCTAGTATTTCTTTAGCTAGAAGTTTAGGCAAAATAAAAAAGTTTTTAAATAATGCAACACTGCTACAACTTCTGCAGGTGCACGGGCCTCCACGTCTTCACAAGATGGAAACTTTATTGCCCTCTCCACAAAATCCTCTTTAGACACGAGTAAAATCAAACTTTTGAAGTGTTCAGCATCCTTCAAGTTACCAGCTGTAGCGATAACCATTTATCATACCAACTGCACACTCTGCCTCCAGCACCACGGTGGTTTCTGGTTTCGCGTACACCGCGTACCGCGGCAGCTGAACGGAAGCCCAGGCACAGCCTCCGGTAACCGGTTTTGTGACTGAAGCGATGACAGCGGACGCCCGCGGGAGCGCTGCCTGCGCCCCCTCGGTGGTCCCGGGACGGGCAGGTGGAGAAGGAGACCCGTGAGGGGGGAAAAGTGCACACGTATATCGGCACGGACTTACACCAGGTGACACAGGTGCTGCAGGAGAGCTTGACATTACCACTTCATCTGGAATGAGAGCGTGAACTTACGACCCCAACACCTGAAGGCGAGCAGCGGCTGCGCTGCGGCGGCCCAGGGCTGCCCTCCCGCCGCCCAGCCCAGGTGACTCAGGCGCTCGCCCACCTGATGAGGTGGGACAC